GTTAGAATTATAAGCAAAATATAATAAATTTATCTATAACATTTTATCTGAATTTTTTTTCCCTTGTAAAGAACTTCCTGTAGTACCTTCAAGATTGTTATGAAATTTTGATAAAGCAATTTGATTCAACAACACCCTCCCCTGCAAATAGCAGTGTAAGCAATTCGATTTTTATAAATCGACAGCACTGTAGGAATTCGAGTTCATTACTAGCAATCTAACATAGAAACAATATTAAAGAACCAAAAATATTTATAAATAATCCCAGCTTATATTTCTCATTTGATAATATTAATCCAATCCCTTTAGAAAACAAAGAATTCTTCAGCTTAAAATATATTTTCTAATAAGCTGATTTATTTTCAAAAATCTTTTTCAGATATTTATTATTTTTATGCAAAGTCCAGATTTTATCTTTTGATTTTTATATTTTTGTCGTTAATTTTTGACTAGGATTTCTTTCATCTTCATCTCAATTTATTTCCACTGGTAGTATTAGTCAGTAGTAAATTTATCTGAAATTTTGATTAGATGAAGCATTGTCTAGAACTATTCATTTTTTACTAGGATTTCTTTCATCTTTGTTTCAATTGCTTTTCATTGCAACATCAGTTTGTGGTCATGATTAAACTGTATGGATTGGAAATAAAAACTAAGTTTCAGGCAGGACTCATATTCACATCTCTTTTTAACTGAAGATGCCTGCCACCCTCTCCCCTCCTTCTATATCAGGTACTGTTCTTCAGGGTACCATCTAGTGGTAGGATTTTGAAGGTAAAATATGTGAGTACAAGTGTTTTCTTCATTTCCAGTCTATTTACTGTTTAATCTTGGCTATAAATTGATGGTCTAAATAGTTGCAGTGGAAACTAAAATGTCAAAACAAATCTTTTATTTACTGAATGGATGATAATAATTATTATTATTATATCGTATTAAAGGTGGTATTCTTTTGAAATTATGGGTGGCAGTGGGCCCCAGTAAAGCAAACCTATCCTTTACTGGATGATTAAAGACTTGCTATCAAAATTCCTTGAAGATGAACCTGAAGAGGGTTGGAGAGTATAAAGGCTGAAACCTCATGATAAGAAATTAGAAACTGAAATTAAACCCCTTAAACTCAACTTTTAGTTTGGAACCCTTTTCTAGTCGCTAAATGTTTTCCTCTCTTTTTTTTCTGTATATATATATATATATATACTTAGCTTCATTGAAAGTTTGCCTTTTGTTTATTTTACCAATTTTATTATATTTTAATTTTTTTTTATTATCTCAAATGGATAAAAACATTTGTTTGTCTTCAATAAAATAGAAATGTTTCAATCAGATCTCTCTAAAAATTTTTTTTTTTTTTTAAATCAATTTTCAAAATCAAATCCAATTAATATAAAAAGTGAAAACTTAAATTTGTAAATTAAAATAATAAAATTCTTTAATTTATTTATTTATTTTTTTTACATATATATATATATATATATATATTTTGATATTTTTCTCCAGATGCTCTCACTCTCCAAGGTGTTTCATAAAATTAAACCTTTTTCATAGATGTGATTTAAAAAAAAAAAAAAGTGCTGATGCACCATTTGACCAATTGGGACAAATTAGGTTCAATTCTTCATGTCTGCCAACCAATATTTGAAAAAATTCTCTTCTCCCCCCCCCCGTTCCCCCCCCCTCAAAAAAGATTGATAATGAGAAGTAAATGGAATCATTTTTTTTTTTTTTTTTTTTTTTTTAAAAATCTTTATTTTGTCAAACAATTCAATTTTTGGGTTTATTTCCCCCCCATTTCTCTTGGTGGGGGTCATTTGACATTCCACTGCAGCACTGTTTGAAGCATTTGTGCTCTTAAATATACGCAATAAAACTGATCAACACGCCCCCCCACTGTGTCGTTGTCTTTACTGTTTTCTGGGAATACTTCATCTTTTTTATTTTTTTTTTTTTTTTTTTAACAAGGTGGTGATGGACAAACTTGCAAGGGCAATCTTCTCTTTATTTTACAAGAAATATTCCAAAGAATTGTTTGAAATAAGAAGGCAATTTTAAAGGTTTCGTTTTTCGTCTTACCAATTATTTGACAATGAAATTCAGTTTCTAAACTACAGACCAAGAAACAATGGCTCTTCCCAAAGGTGAGAAATGCAGAGAATTGGTTGTCATCAAGAAGGAAGTTCCAACACTGAAACTTGGTCAATCACCAGAGATTCATGTGTTTTTATATATATATATATATATATATATTTATATATTTATAAAATAGAGAGAGAATAGTTTGTCATTTAGTTGATTGCTGTTACCTTCAGCATCCTGACTCCAAAGTTTTGTAGGTGTACCTGGTCTGTCCACACTGAGGAGTGGGAGTATCAGCAATTGACTGGTCATATTTTTTGATTTTTTTCTTTTTATGCACTTATCATTGGTGTAAGTTCCCCCTCCTCCATGTGCATATATATATATATATATATATATATATATGAAAAGTGTATATATATATATATATATATATATATATATATATATATATATATATATATATTATTTATATATTATATATTTTTATTAGAAAGCGCTCAATATCAGAAATAGAGCTAACATATTTGGTTGGATAGATGTGAGTTTGTGACCCTGGGTTTCACGCTTTAGCGATCGTCAGACAAACTGATTAATGTTTTAAAAATTTGGGTTTATTTATAACACCAATACACGCAATCTACATAAACCCAAATTTTTAAAACATTAATCAGTTTGTCTGACGATCGCTAAACGTGAAACCTAAAAGTCTACAAAATATATATATATATATATATATATATATATCAGAAATTATAGTAGTACAAAAGTGAAAAAAACTTCTTTTTCACTTTTTTCCTTGCTCCTCAACAGGAAGGAAAAGAAAAAAATTTGGTTAAGCCATGCAATAGACATTACCATTAGAACTAATCATTTTTTTCAATTTCCTTTTCCCATAGACTATAGAAAATAACCTTGGGAAAGGTATGAATCCAGCTATGGGTTAAATAGCAGGACAGACAGGGTCCTATAGCCTTGGTTGGCAACCAGTCTACTACAGAAAGAAATGGAAACCTGCTGCAGGAAAATGTAATCTGCCTAGTCTGTCATGAATCGAAAGTCTTAATCACCCAAGCATGTGTCACATATGACACTTCTTGACTGACTATAGATTAAGCACTACAGATCAGAAATTTTATAAGGTTAATAGTAATCCAATTTATGTAAATTCCTCCCCCCCCCACTATCGAGGCCAAAACAAATGTACTCACATAACATGATTTCTTAAAATGTAAGGATGTGCAGGTGGTGTAATGGATAGATGTTTAAAAGAACAGAGTTCAATTTCTAGTTGGGTCAGTTGTATTCAATCCTAAATACCTTTATGGTGCAAAACTGTCCCCTCCCACTGGCTATGGGTTAAATAGTAGGACTTGTATCTGTAAAACAATCATTGTTCTCAAAAATTGTTAATGCAATAGTTATTCCCCAAAAAAAAAAAAAAAAGAATTATACTGATAACCCAAAATGTTTTGGTGTTAAATCACCCACGAAAAGTTAAGATGTGAACAAAAACAAATCAATTTTAAAATGTGAAAAAAATAAAAAATTTTTAAATTCATAATCTTGAGTGCTTAATTGACAGCAATATATGAAAAAGAACTCCAAGTAATTTATTTATTTATTTTTTTTTTTTTTTAACTATTTACACTCATCTTGACTTTTTCAAGTGATATTTGTTGAAATTTCAAACCAAATTCTTTATTTTGTCCACAGAGGTTGATTCTTCTGAGCCATGTGTCAAAAGGACTAAAAGGGTACGGTTTGAAATTCCAATAAATATCACCTGAATAAGGCTAGATTGTTCAACAGCCAAACCATTGTCAAAACGGCAATAAAGATGAGAACAACACCCTGAACAATAAATAGTTATGATATTATGTAAATGTAAAATGTATTGTACTATGTTCAATGTAAATAGTTACAATAGTTTTGGAAATATCGACATATTCTTTTTTTAACATTTTAAGAAATTGTGTGGTATGAAAATATTTTGTCTTGACTTTCATAGAGAGAGAGATGAATTTGCATAACAAACTGCCCCCCCCAACCCCCCATTAACATTTAGAAAATTTAATTAAAAGATAAAGATTCTTTTGAGAGTCATGATCTAAAGCACTTACTCTATAGGAAAAATTGAAAAAAAAATTATTTCTGGCCACAGCGTCTACTGTACAACTTTGCCAAAATTTCTTTAATGTCTCTGATATTCATTTTCATATGTGATAAAAGTCGAGTGGTCCACTTGTAAAACAAAAAAAAAATAATTATGAAACATATTTGAGGAAGTAATTTTTATTAATTAGCATTCATTTGACATTGTTCAAGGTGCAAAATTTGTCAGAATCAAAAAATATTGAAATTTTTAATCACTTTAGAAGTGAGTCCTATTCAAAATATCGACAATGTAAAATCAATCCCCGACTTTTTACAGAGTTATTTGTACTTAACTGTTCTGTGTATAAAAACATTTTTTTAACAAAAAGATTTCTTTTAAATAAAAACAAATGGGTGTATACATTTTTAATTAATGAACAAAAATTTATGTAAATTAATCAAAGTATATATCAATTTATTCTATCTTGAAGATAAATAATTATTACCCCACCCCAATGATGTGCTCCCTCCCCGCCCAACCAAAAAAAGTTTTAAAATTTCATAAAATTAAGATATATGCTGGCATCATTGTCAATACAGTTTCAAACTTGACACTTGTTGATTGGTTGATTCCTTTTTTTTTTTTTTTTACAGCTTGTCAAACCTTTAAAGTTATTTAAAGTCAGAAAATATTTTTAGATAGTAAGATTTTTTTCTCCAAGTGTATTTGAATTTAAGTGCATATAACAAACCCAACTGGAATTGGAACTCAGCTCTCCAATTAAAAATTCTGAACCATTATCCATTAATCCCCACCCACATGTCCAAGCACATGGTATTTCCAAGTAGTCACCCTTCTAGGTACTGACTAGGCTTGACGTTGCTTAACTTCGGTGATCATATGCAATCCAGTGTTTCAATGTAACATGGCCGTAAGCTTGACATTTGTAAATAACAAGTTTAATAGCTCTGTAAAAAATCGGGGACTAATTTTACTCTGTATTTATAGTAAGAAGATGACCCCCCCCGCTTGTAAATCAATAATAAAAAAAAAATATTTTTCTATTCTAACAAATATCTAATGAATGTTAATCTAAAAATGATTCCCTGAGAAAATGTTCCCTATTTTTTTATGAACAAGTTTATTTATTTAATTATTTAACTCCTGCCAATTTTCTCAGCTTTGTCCCATTTCCAACCAAATTTTTATTATTATTATTGTTAAGGTGATTTTGTTCAATTCTAGAATGTTCTGGTCCTCCCATTGTTTGTATGCACACGTGCGCGTATTTATATGGAATGTAAAATATTAAGAAAAGCATTCACTTGTAAATTTAATCATGTCTCTCAAATGTTAGTTAAACCTGGTTCTAAATTTTAGATTTTCCCCCAAGAGGAAAGATACATTCACTCAAAAGTCAGAATTACTTTACAAGTGTAGGTGTCATGACAATTACTTACTCTACCACATGACCCACTGTCTAAATCAGCGTTTTCCAATGTGAGCACTAGCACCCCCTTGTGGGCTCAGTTATGTTGAAAGGGGGGCACTGGGAATTTTTTTTTTTTTTTATTTCGTTTGGTGGGGGTGAACATTTTTTTTTTCCTCAAAATCTTCAAAAATTATTCAATCTTGGCTACAAAAGAAAATGTTTAAAAGGCATCTATTTAAAGCTGTGGAAAGTTACCAAACTTTTCTTCATTGCTTTTCCAATTTCTTATATGGCTGAATGCAGTTTCAACGCAGTTATAAACCTCCTTATTAAACAAAACCTACCTGCAAATTACAAAACAAGATCTAAGATTACTTCTAAGCAGCCTGGGACCTAAAGTAAGAGCCTTAACCAGTAAGCACCAAAGTCAATCATTGCATTGAAAACTTTGAGATAAGCTATTAAATAAATTTTTTTTTTTAGCATTTTAATCATCGGCATTTATAATAGAAATGAAAACAATATTAAAACTATTGTTTTTTTTTTTTTTTACTAATACCTAAGTGATATCTTGCTATGAAAGATGAATTCAGTATAATATTTAAAATTTAATTTGACAAGGGGCGACTGACAAAAAAAGTTTGTACTCAAACAGGGAACTGGGCTAAATGATCATTGATTCTTCTATATTGGATGTCACAAAATCTGAATGTCTTACTCACCACCTGATGGTTGCATAAGCAGAAAATTAACAGTCACGCTTTGACATTTTTTTTTCTTAATTTGTTTTTATTACTTTTTCAAACTAACCTCTATATTTGCTGATGTGTATTTTGAATTTTATTGTCCACTTCTGAGCCAAAAGTTATGCTTGAGTAAATAATATGAAAAGAATTTAGAAAATAAATAATCTGCAAGTCTGACAGTATGCCTGTGACTCAAAAAGAACAAATATATCATTTGGATAAGATGCAACATTAAACATTGACTTAGACACTAGCAGGTATTAAAAAATGTAGACATGGTCATCATCAGTTCCTTGACCGGGCGTGGTCATGGGGTCACTGCACAACTGAGGCCCTGATCAGTTCCCTTCACATATCTGGGTTGAAAGCCAGACACGTCTCATTCTCTGGGCAAGTAAACCTGGTGGAATCCATCCTTCTCCATGTCAAATCCCAGCTGATGTCCTCTAACTTGAAGGCTTGCCTTGGTCACAAATAGTTGGCCAGTGATTCTGTCAAGGGGACACACTCCTTGGGTTCTTGATTTCAGTCTTGGAAGCCTTCTGCCCAGCAATGATATCATCACTGTTCTGGCTGCATCCATAGCTATGGAGCCCAGCCTACCCTTTTGTGCTAGATAGCTGTTAAACCCTACAAGACAGTTTGTCTACCCTTTGACAGGTCTTTTTTTTTTTTTAATCCTGCTAAGTGTCTAGGCATCTTCCTCACAAGAAAAGCCTGGTGGAGAAACCAGTTTAGTTGCTGATGAACCCACTAGCACTTGTATTTTTAAATCAAGTCACTGTGATGGTTAGCTGTTATTTTATAGACCAATTTCCAGGTGTAGTGGATTTACAGCCACATTTTTTTAAATTATTTCACCCGAAACAAGAAAATAAAGCCACTAGGATGCAAAGGGGTTACTGAGTGTTAGAGAATATGAGAAAAACTACTATTAAGGAGAGAGGACAATAAAAGAACAAGAATTAAGAAGACAGAAGATAACGATTGACATTGCATTTAAATTTGTGAAGATCAAAGTTAACTGAAAAGCAAGAAGCCAGAAGAGAGTTCCACAAATGAGAAGTGTGATATAAGAAACTGTTAGCATAGAATTTAGGGTTACATCTAAGCATTTCAACTGTAAAATGATGAGACCTAGCTGCCAATCTAGTACTGCAGTTAAATTCATAAAATCTAGGTACCAAGGAGGAATATATATATATATATATATATATATATATATATATATATATATAAGGATATTACACTGAAAACATGTCAAATTGCTACACAATTGCAGTCATGTTTTGGTGCATTCGATTTACAATCGTCTGATGAGATGCATTGATATGTATCAAAATATGACTGCAATTGTGTAGCGATTTTGTATTGAGCGCTCATTTAAATTAAATGTTATGAACATTGAAATTGCACTCTATTCATTCTCATCTCTGGATTATATATATATATATATATATATATATATATATATCATCTACAGACAGACTGTTTCGTTATATCACAGCTCCTCAGTGTCACTAGACATCTGATTGCTTCAAGCCAAGATCGAAACATGACTGATTTGACATATATCTTATCTCTAGGCCATCGTCACACGACAGAAAGGAAGTGAATTTTAACATTTTTCTCTATATGAAATACATCAGTGGCTCAGAGGTCTCAATTCATACTTGAAGAGTAATGCTTAATAGCAGTAGAAGCCGCTGGGTTTTTTTAAAAAAAAACTTTCCCTGGAGAGTTCAACCAGATTTCCGGGGCGCATATATAAATATATGAACAAAAAGATAAAGAAAAACTATTCTTAGCAGACATGCTTCATCCTCTGAGTGACTTTATCAGGGCAAATGTAGAATTTATTTTTTTGCACATGTTTATATACATGCGCAACAACAAGGATGTCATTGGATGCCATAACTCAAAGTCTGGTAAGGCAAATTATGGCATTTTGTGTCTTCCATATCTTTCGCCAACGCGGCGTCCACAATGGCCTTCATTATGGCTGGTGCAACATTCAACCCAAAACCCATTGAAGATTACAGTTTGAAAGGGCCAAAATGACTTTTGGATATGTACTTGTAAATAGGCCTGCCGTAGGTCAAGGATAGCGACATCTGGTCCTTTTTTACGCCACTCCCTCAGTTTCTGTGCACACACATCAGCATTGGCTGCATGTGCATTGAGACACTCATTCAGCTCTTGATAGTCTAATACTGACCGCACTTTATTTTTGTTTTTCTGCACCACCACCATCAACGGAATTAAACCTTTTGGAGGACCGAGTTTCTTTTCAGGATAAGGCTGCAACCAACCGCTATCAAGCCAGGTCTGCAGCTCACAGTCGTATTCCGCCTTGACTCCCGTTGGTATTGGGTAGTCGGGCATCCGATTTCTCATACTCTCCGGTGATCGACCATCAGACCACTTCCATGATGCGATCCATATCTTCCAGTTCGGGTCGAATTCGGCGCAGAAATCAGGTTCTTCTATTTTAATAGCGGTTTAACAAACTATTCCACGCTTGGGAAACCGTACATCGCATTACTGTGTTATTTGGAATCCGCCCAACTTTTTAATGGCATCAAATCCAAGCAACAAGTCAAAACTCATTAGCTCTCCATCCACTACCAAGACAATCGATTTTGAGGGGGGTTTTGTGTTGTCCACGTCAAGCTTAATACTTCCAACTCCGCAACATTTGAGAGTATTTCCGTTTATGGTGAGTACGTTCACCTCCGTCATCTGTCAGGATTGACAGGCTGACATTCACAAGTGTCTGTTAGCAGCCAGTGTCCACCAGTGCCACTCTCTTAATTCCGTTCACATAAATACCCAAGATGGGTAACGCTTCATTCATAACTCACTTATGGAAGAGACCGGCACTGACGTCTTGTCCCTTTCTTCTTTTCCCTGAACACAATGAAGCAATGTGGCCTACCTCTTGACACTGGAAGCAAAGCATTGTTGTGCGTGACACGCGTGGCTGACAGGCATCTTCTCGTCAAACCGGGCAGTCCCTGGCAAGGTGATTCCACCCAGAGCATCGATAAATCACATACTCTCCCAACGTTTGGATGTTTATCAGCTCCGCCTGGTGAAATGGTAGCCGCAACTATTTCCTCAGTTGCAATTTGATCTTTCATTATGGTCCGCGCTCGGTCCAACAGTTGATTTGTATTCATGTCTTCCATCCTGGAAGACGCGTGCAGTAGTTGCTTGACATGCGCTGGTAACCCTGCTATGAATCTACATGCTAATCCTTGCTCCGATATCCCGTCAAATAGACCAGCTAGCTTCTTCAAGTCAGCTAGAAACACATCGACGGACTCGTCCGAGCACAGTCGGTGTTCCGCGAATTGCTTGAAGCCAAGAAACAATCCGGTGCAAAGGCAATCTTCAGGGCTCGTTCTATCTGATTGACATCTGATTTTTGTTCCGAGTTTAACTGCTGGTAAACAGCAAATGCTCCGCCCGTCAACCTCAAAGGAAGAACACGCTCAACTTTTTTAATTCCACACAGGTCACAAACAAGTTCAACCTTCTCAATCCATTCAGTAACTGCTTGTCCGGTTACTGAACCATCAAACGCTGGTATCAACTTGACGTCAAATGTCTTGTCTGTCACAGTGCCAAAATAGCTTGTAAGTGATCTGGGATTGCAAAGGAAATGTTTGTCGCAGATTATTTCCACATCGCCGAGGATAAATCACTAAGTTCAGACTCAAACATCAGGGACAGAAAGAAAATGCCGAAAACT